TTTTACGGTCAAAATGGTCACGCCAGCCTACCTTACCCCACAACGGTTGCATGTATGCCCGATGTGGACGAGTTCAATGCCCACTCGTTCCATTGCTTGGGTACCTGAAGTCCAGACCGTGGGCGTCGGTTGTCTCCTCCAAGCTCCGAGTCCCGTCTCGCAAGATTGGTTGAGTAGAGAACGCACAGCCTGAGGGATGGAGCTGAAGTCCTGTATTGGGATGTCATGTTGGCACATTTACATCGGACCGGTGTGGCACATTTGCGCACGAGCTTGACTTGCTGCGCGTGCGCTTGGCTGATAGTCTGCTGGCCATCCGATGGAGCTCCTCTGTCTTCTCGACATTTGGTACGTCTATGTCGAGATAGGCTTGAAACGACATTGGATATCGACGCGATATGTCGAACATTGGGGCGTTGGTAGGTTTACTGATCCCCCCTCCGTGATTGGCAGAACCAAATATGACGCTGCAGGATAATTATGCAGTATCGGATATTCTTCCGGCCAGCGGTGTGATATCCTATGTGCATTTTACAGGCCGACTGCCGGGTACAACTGGGGCCCTGCAGTCATTTGCGGAGAAGCTTGGCTTAGCGCTAGACCAAACGAGGCAACATTGCTGGGGTTGAGGAGAGAGATTGGATAAACTCCGGTCATTCCTGAGCCTGTCTTTAACCCTCTTAACTGGATGGGGAAAGAGTTTCTCTTGTTGGCCATTGATAATCAGATGTGTTCTGGATAACGTGTTACACCACATTGGCTGTAAGCCGCAGATCCACTCCGGAACTGGAGGCAATCGACTCGCATAAAATTCTGAGACATCAAAGGAAAGGAGAAATTGCAGCAGCCACCAGGGGAAAAAGAGGCAACCGTTACTAACGATATTTGGCGTTGTTGAATGGACAGGATAGCAGCCAAGATGCGTTCCTTTCTCCTTGCGCTGTTTGTCGGTAGCTTCCCAAGGTAAGTATTTCCTGCAGAATGGTTACTTCGATGGTCTGGAGATTTGCTATAAATTCATCCAGCCCAGATGCTTTGTGTTTATCACCCCTGCGCATATTCACCTCGAGTCGATACCGGTATCTAAACTCTCGCACCCTCCCCACCGTCCCCAACTACCCCATAGCCATGCCCGAACACTCAAAGCTCCCCGATGTCTCTGAGTCGGAGCATCGCCCGTGGTGCGTGATTTATATTCTTCCTGTCAGACCTAAACAATGTTGTGTCAGTCCACTTCACGTAATGGCCGCTGTTCTGCGAAGCCACTATCATTGCTTTTATACTTATTTGCGTGTCCGCCATCCGGGCTTCATCTTACGCCCAACCTCTGTCACCCCTTCCCCTACATCTGTTCATTGTCCGTTTTTCTGGCTTGCTTTAAAATAAACGACTGTTTATCGTCTACTGCGTACATGTATGAGCAAAGCAGTTGGCTAACGAAGGGATATCATCTGCAGTGGCTGCCGTCCCTCACATATTCCCAGTGTCGACTCCACCACGTCTTGGGTTGCCCAGTACAACCCTGACAACATCCTGGCCGCAATCCAGGCTCGGCCTTTTCACGAAAGCATACAGCATGTCCATGCCCGGCTCCAAATCTTGGCGACCGAGGTCAACGGTCTCGTGGAAATCATAGGAAAGGGCCCAGAGTGAGAGACTTCGGCACAACACAGGCTAGGGGAAACAGTCTGGGCTTTTCTCGCGCGCGATAGCACGGCGATGTGATAATTTCGTAGCTTCGCTTGTATCTTGGACAGAATGAAGTGACAAACACAATGGCTAGCTTCGCCCCAGTATCGTTATTCTGCATATATTTTGCCCCAAATCTATTCCTCATGTACAATCTCTCACTCCTATAGATGTGCAATGCTCTCAGTGTTAGATCCTTAGGCGAGCTATAGAAACTGTGGCCTGGAATCAGGATGGCAAGAGATACTTCATGTGAAGTAGTGCGGTGTGGGATTTACGACAAGCCGATTGCTGGAAACGGTGGCTTTCGAGTCATGAATTTGTGGATTACCACGCCCGCCAGCCAAGATCTCTTACATGTATTTATTTTTACTCAATTCCCGAAGCCGGCTTCGAACAGCAAAAGAGCAACCAGTGCTCGCAACAACCTAGTACTGATTGGTTGGAACTCAATTCTGTGCCTCAGCCTAAACTATGCGCGGCATAGTGATCCTGTGCAGCTACCTTTCAAGCACATTCAAATGATGCTGTGACCAATAATATTGCCCTCTTGTGCATTGATGGAGTGCCAACGCATCACTTCACTGTGTAGATTTCGAGAACCCGGGGACCAAGAACTCTCCTACTTTTCGAGCGGAGTTCTGCAGGTCTTCGGTTTTAAAGCATCCAGCCAACGTTGTCGATAATTTAAACCCAACCCCGCAGCAGCTTTTCTCTTCCTGGACAAATCAACTCAATCACCCGTGTCTGCTTCCGGAGGTCTGTTTAAATTTCTATCTCGAACGCGTCAGGTAGTCTCGGGGTTCAGGGTTGTCGGGGTTCAACTTGGTGCAAGCATCATAAACCAATGCAGCTAGCGGGATCTGCCAACGACGTGGCAAAAAATGCTTATTCCCTAGCTCAACAGTTATTTATATAGTACTGGTGCGATGTGCGGTTGTTTTTTGGTCTTTTCTTTTGCGAGATAGTAAACATGGATATGTTTGGTGACTCGAGTCTCAACCGTCTGAGATGCAAGCTCTCCCATTTTTTAGTGCAACATCAATGGCCAGTGACACCATCAATCACATATTATCAAATTTGTATCAAGCCCCTGAAGCGCAAAGTGCAACCGAGAGAAAAGGAAGCCATCAAGAGTTAAACATGTGAGCGAGCAGATAGAATGCCCTTATACTAACCCAAAAAGCACCAAAAAGCACCAAATACCACGTCATTTAGCGGGCCGCACCGTGGGGGAAATCTCAAAAGGGAAGGTGGCCATCCGGTAGTTCTCTGCAAGCTGCCACTAGAGATGAAAGCTCCGTGGTTAATTGAGGAAAGTCTTGGCCCGACCTTCCCCAAACCTCTTTTTGCCCCTAGCGGCCCATGCGGCCTCCCAAGATCCCCGCATGCACATGCGCATGAAGATTGACGACCGCCTGCCAAATGGGGGAGGTGCGACGCAATTCACACCTTATCTGGTACGTTGTGGCCACCCAATTCTGAGCCATTTCCTGGTTCCCAGGTCCCTCGACCGACCAGCCGTCCAACCGTCCCAATCGACAGACCGATCGATGAATGCAAGGCACACCCTTTTTTAAAAATGTTAAATACCCGGACGCAATCTATCTCCCGGCCGAACTGTCTCTCCTGGTTCTGGGTCGGTTGAGAGCTCATTCATCCCACCCGTGTGAAGAGACAAGATGAAGCACTCCATCACCGCCGCCTCTCTGGCGCTCCAGGTCACCTCAGCTCTTGCCAGCCAGCTGTTGCCCGTTCAGATCAGGGCGCCCACCGTCGAGCATTTCGAGGCCATCGTCGCCAACGAGACCTACGACTTCGGTTGCCGGCCCGTTGCCCACCCCACCGAGGATGGCCAGTACAAGCTGCACGCCCTTCTGACCCGGGACCAGATCGACTACCTCTCCGCCGAGTATCGTGAGGTCGACTCAATCGAGATCCGCGAGACCAAGCTTACCAAGCGCGCTGCCAACGCACCCATCGGATCTGGTGACCGATTCAGCTCCGGCTCCGTTGCCCCTCTCGGTCTCGGAACCAAGGCCACGGGCACCACCATTGCGAGCATCCTCAACGTCAACGAGATCAACTCTGCCGTCACCGGGCTGGTTAATGCCTACCCCGGCGCTTTCTTCAAGTACGACCTCCCCAACAAGAGCTTCCAGGGCCGCACATCCGTCGCCTTTTACACCGGCGCCGGCTCCAGTGTGAACAACTACCGTCTTTACCTGAGCGCTGCTATGCACGCCCGTGAGCGCGGCGGTCCCGACAACGTCATCTACTGGGTCGCCGATCTTCTTCAGGCCAACAAGACCGGCGTCGGTCTCAAGTACGGCTCCAAGTCTTACACCAATGCTCAGGTGAAGTCCGTCCTCAACGCCGGTATCGTCATCTTCCCGCTCGTCAACCCCGACGGCGTCGTCTACGATCAGTCCTCCGGCTCGCTTTGGCGCAAGAACCGCAACACCAAGTCCGGCTCCAGCGGGTCCTCGGTCGGTGTTGACATCAACCGCAACTTCAACTTCCTCTGGAACTTCAAAAAGTTCTTCACCTCCAGCGCCTCTCCGGCTTCCACCTCGCCCAGCTCCGAGGCATTCTACGGCACCGCTGCCGAGTCGGAACCCGAGACCAAGAACCACGTTTCCATTTACTCCAAGTTCCCCAAGATCCGTTGGTTCATGGATGTCCACTCGGCTGCCGGAACCCTCCTCTACAGCTGGGGTGATGACGAGAACCAGTCGACGACCCCGGCCATGAACTTCCTCAACTCCACTTACGACGGCAAGCGCGGCAAGGTTGGCGACACCACCTACAAGGAGTACATCCCCTCTGCCGACCAAACGGCCATTAAGACGGTCGCTGATGCCACCGTCGCCGCCATGAGGGCTGTCGGCAGCCGCTCATACACCTCGCAGCAGGCTGTTGGTCTCTACCCCACCTCTGGCGCTTCTGATGATTACGCCTTCAGTAGGTTCTGGGCTCAGCCTGGTGTTAATAAGGTCTACGGATACACTATGGAGTTTGGGTACTCGACCAACTTTTATCCCACCCTTACCGAGTTCAACCAGAACATTCTTGATACCAATGCTGGGTTCATGGATTGGGCTTTGACTGCCATTTCGGTTGGTCTTGAGTAAAGATGTCATGAACGAGTATTTTTTTTAGCACGTTAGTATTTAGCATTTAGCATCGTTATTGTATATACTTTTCAACTACACATGGTTTCACGTCAACCGTCTTCGACGTGACAAGTGTTGTATTTCGCCACTCTTATATTCCATTACTTGACCTGTACTCCAAACATATAACCGCTTGCCCGGCTAGCTCAATCGGTAGAGCGTGAGACTCTTATGTGGAGTTCTCCGAACGTATAATCTCAAGGTTGTGGGTTCGACCCCCACGTCGGGCTCAATTCCCGTCGAAACGATTCGATATTTCTTTTTGGTTCTTTGAACAAGTTGCTCAACTTGGCTCTTTGGGTTCTTTTTTTCCCCCCCTGTTATCAGGTCTCCGAGACGGCGGTTGTTTTGTGGAAGGACGTTAAGGGCGGTGCGTTGATGCTGATATCTCTGGCTTTCAGGGGTCATCCCTGATAGCGAGCGTCCGAGCTTGACCTCGGTTCGGCGGAGGGCCCACTGAGCTTATCTTCACGTTCTTGAGTTTGGAAGAAGGGGCTTGTGGCTTTTAGCATATCTCTGTGGTTGTGTGGAGTTACAGATAGCTCATGCAGTGGAAAGACCCAATCATGGATGAGGAGTTTGGCCTCGTGTAATGAATAAACGGACTTGAAGACCTCGGGATTTGATGATACGGGCGGAACTATTTACTACTTTTTTTCGCTTTTGCTTTCCCGCAGAGATAGAGCTTGTCTGCAGCTGGTAGAGAAATGTTGATTGCGTAGATTTTTCAAGTTCGGTTTGTTTAGTTAGGGATGATATGAGATTTTATCCATAACGCGTATAGTACAATTAAACTATTCTCCCTTCTGTCAGCGGGAGCCCGACACTAAGCGACGCTCTTGATTGGACTGGGTACTGGATTTAGAGACAGGGCAATGGACCGCACAAACGTGAACAAGAACACAGAGGGAGGCTGGCGCTCGTGCGTGGGCCGGGGTTGTATGTGGGAGCACGGTTCGACGGTTCTCCTCGTTGATGGAGATGGTAGGCGTCGTCTTTATTCCGGGACCGAGAAAACCTGTTGCGCTCTGGTTGGCTCCAGTGTCTGGTGCCATGCTTGAGTCGAAGGAATTTAGATCGTTTGTGGGAGAGGTGGGCGTGACTTCTGCATCGTGGACTGTGGGGATCTGGCTGATGAGTTACCGGGTAACTAACTGATGATGATGGGAATGCATCGAAGACCTTGTCTCCATTCTGTGTGGAAGAAACCGGCGTAAAGAGAGAATAAGTCCACAAATTTTCTTGCTAGATTCGCCTTTCTTAGAGGGTTATTACGGTCCAGAGATAGATCTAGCCAGACTTCAGAGAGCAGGGGTAGTTGAGTAGGTACTTAGAGTAGCCCACACTGTGTTCACCGGTTGCTCCCAGGTGGAACCTTCCTGTTGGGTCACCTTTCCTTCAAATTGGGAGATGCGGAAGATACAAGGGTCTCAAGCTTCCGTGTTATGCTCTGCTTCAATTTCTGTTCTCAGATTGTGCTGTTTGACACCAACATCTCTCCCCTTTGATCTGTCCAGAGGAAAGGGAAATCCACGACCAATCCCCATTCCTACACCTCGAATCTCTAAATACAGCCAACAAGCAAACCATTGCATACCCTTCCACCCAAGGCCTGTCTAGGTGCATCCTCCCTCAACCCAACACCTCCGACTCTCCGTCGCCTCCTTCCTCGAGGGCTTCACCCAGCAAAGTCCGAATCTCCTCCCCATCTCCCTCCTCGCGACCCTCGCCCCCGCCAAGACGAATAGCACCGACACCTCTATCCTTCCTCACCTCGATAACCGCACACAAGCAAATCAACACACTCGTGATCCTACGCTGTCCGTCAGTTTCTCCTTTTCTCCATTACCTGCGCAGTACATACCAAACAACCAACCCGCTGCTCACCGCGTTCTGCGTCACGATGCAGAAATACTTCTCGGGCGGTAAATAAACGTTATTCTCCCACACGTTATAGCAGTACGGCCACGTCTCCCTCACCACTGGCGTCGAAGCGAACGAAACGAGGCAGATCGAATAGAGGAACAGAGAGAAGGATGTGCAGCCGAGCTGAGTGAAGTTGTCTATTGCTAGGAGGCAAGGTTTCTTGTGCGCGCGGAGGATCAGAACGGCGAAGAAGAGGAAGAAGTCGAGGACTGTTATGATGGACTTTAGGGGACCTTGGTGAGCCACAAAATAGGCAAAGACGGACGAGACGAAGGAGCAGCGCAAGGGAAGACACATACGGCAATCAAAAGTAGGACCTCGCTGATGGGGACGGAGGTTGGCTCGGTGGCCGGTGCACAGCGGTAGCGGTAGCGCCTGCAGTAGTGCATGTCGTGCATGTACAGGAGGTAGCAGATGGCGTAGCCCGAGATCACGACGCTGCCGAGTTGGATTAGCCGGAGCGGGTAGATCCCGAAGGATGCGAGGGTGGAAAGGGGTTTGGGTGTCATGTTTGGTGTGACCGTGTGCCAGCTTGTTTGGCTTGATGGGAAGTTTTGGGTGGTAGAAGGAAAACGAATATACACTGTGATTCAGACGGACGCTCAGGGGTTTTGCTGCTAAAGAGGAATGACAGAGGTGATGGACTGTCGTGGGCTTGGTGACACAGCCCGATCAGCCGCACGGCATATTTCTCAACGCCCGAAGGCTGACGCTTGTGTTTGTGCGCTCAGTCCCCCATTGGGCATTTGACTAACGTCTTATGTGAGTGGAGCATCTTAAACCACATCACAGTATGCATAGTGCTTCTTGTATAAATGGTAGGTATATGTACTAATAACGACGCAAAGAGGAGAAAATCGACACCCGAGGCGATCAACACCGGCATGAACCTTTCTCTCTCGGGAAGAGTTCATTTCCTGCCGAATTAGTAGTAGATTGTGCAGAGAGAACCTGAGCGTTGAAGCCTTACAATCGCTGTCTGGTTGTCCGCCAGAAACAAGCATCGTCTCTTCTGGAGTCTGTTTTTTTCCATGCACAGAGTACCTGGCCGCGATAAAGCGGTATGTGGCTGTCCCGGACAGTGAGGAGGAGTTGTAGGTGTACGGGCAATGAGCTGCAGCTGACAATGTTCAAATGATGTAACTTCAGCTCTATAATCCACGAATAGCTGTGTAAATGGTGATTATTTAGCATGAAACGATATAAAAGAAGGTACGTAGCTGATGCAAAAAAGTGTGTTTAACAGTTCTGTGTTGGAAGGTTTGTGGGGTTGTTTACTTAACGTACCCTTTTTCTCCTGTGATTTTTATGCAATACTGGAAAAGCTGATTGGCTGAGCTCATGGTCAAAGGTAGGGGACCGAAAAAGAACTTTTGGCGACAGCAAGCTTGGGTATTCCAGATCTTGAATTGTTTGCTTTGAAAAATTTTGAGAATTCTTCGACCGAACCATCAAGCAGGCAAAAAGCCAGCAACGACACGATGGTAAGATATTTTCAAAAACTGAGACTTCACTTATCACTGCTTATATGAACTCTATTTACTAATTGTGATGTATAGAACGTCTCAAACTCGAACGAGCCCACCAGCCCTCCCGTCGCGTCCGGCACGACCGTTCGCGTCGGCGACGAGCCTCGCCACGGCGCCGGGGACGCCGGGGTCGTGCCCCACCCGGCCGAGATCCGCGCTGACGTCGAGGCGATGATCGTCGACCAGATGATCGCGCTGGCTGTTGAGCGGGCCGTGAGGGCGAGGGATTTTACTTTTGCCGGGATCCAGATCTGCCGCATTACCGGCAGGTTTTACTATCCCATCTCGAACGAGGAGTACTCGGCCGAGCAGGAGGCGAAGAAGGAGCAGGAGTGGAGAGCGGGTTGGATGGCGCGGGGGTATACCTTTGATGATATGGGGCGGTTGGTCGTGGAGGGTGAGGAGGAGGGGAATGTGCTGGAAGAGGAGAAGGATGATGAAGATATCAAAGATGTTCAGGAGAAGAAGGACGTGGACGAGAAGAAGAACATTGTCCAGAATAAGCGCGACCAGGATGAGAATGTTGACGACGAGGAGAAAGACATCGACAAGCACAAGGGCACTAAGGACACACAGCACATTACAAAAGCAGGATGTCAGTGACTACAACAATGCCGATGGTATGAATGTGGAAATGGACAGCGGGAAGGACCTCGACGACAATGACGGCGACGGCAAGAAGACCCACGGCGAGGACAAGGATGCCGAGGACGAGAAGAACCGCATCGACAACAAGAGGAGCAGCCAGGAAAATGATCTCGACGACAGGAATGAGGCCATGGACAAGGACAAGGACACGAACAAGAAGGTCCACGACAACACAAAGAAGGACGATAATGGCAAGAAGGGCCAGCAACAAAACAAGCACAAGCCTGGTGCTGATACCGAGAAGAAGGACCGCGACAAGGAAAAGGTGCCAATAGCGAGAACAATGTCAATAAGAAAAAGAAAGATGCCGAAGAGAAGGATGCCGATGACGACAAGAACAAAATCGACAAGAAGAAGAAGAACCGCAAGAAGAACCGCGACAAGAAGAATAACCAGAAGAGCCCTGACAGGAACATGGCCGATACCAACAAGAACCAAGAGCAGGATATTGGCAGCAAAGAGGACCATCGCCTGATTGAGAAACAGGACTCCAAGGACAAGGATATCCAGCACACTGCTCAAAATACTGCTGATACCAAGGGCGTTGACTATGAGGACAACCACGACGACGACGACGCTGACCATAATGAGAATAAGAAGCATCAGGAGCATGTCAAGAAAGGCCGGTCTGAGGACAAGAACACCCAGAAGCCTGCCGAATTCAGGGACTCTGAGAATCAGGACCGCCACAACGATGAGGGTGACGACGATGATGAGGATCTGGACCCCGCTGTTCTCAAGCGCAGGGCATACTAGCTCTACGACGACCCTCTTTGCCCCGCAATCATCAAGTACATGGCCTGGGACAAGTATATTCGTCACCGCAAGCGCAAGCCCGTCGACTCCGACTCCGACTCTGAGTAATCTGGCCAAGAAAGGGCCACAGCATCATCCCTCAGACATTAACAGCCTACCAAGCCCATCACCATTGACTTCATTTTTGGTTTCGACGTTAGCTGCGGCGGAAATTTCTTCTCATCATCGAACGGACCTGTTGAAAAGTAATTCGCCTTGAGACTTGTCACGAGCCTAAGTGGTCATCCTAAATACTAAAGCAACTTTGTCCACTGAATTTATGTTACTGGGCTGCGGTGAACCGCGAATGTGAACAGACGTGAAATGCACGC